CATCTGGGACACCATGGTGGGGACGGTGTGGATCCCCCTCCGCACTATCCGGCAGTCCAATGAGGTAGGGAGCTGGGCACACCCCCCACCCCTGGACCCTGAGGGTTGTGCAGCCACCCCCCAGTTTTCCTTTGGTGGGGACAGAACCTTCCCCATCTCCACCTGGAGAAGACTGGGCCGGATGCTGCACACGGGGGGCGGTGGGGCTGCGTAGGGGGTCCCCAGCAGCTGTCCTCACCTCCCTTTCTGCCCTGCAGGAGGGTCCTGGGGAATGGCTCACGCTCGACTCCCAGGTCATCATGACTGACAACGAGATTTCAGGCACCAAGGACCCCACTTTCCACCGTATCCTCCTGGACACCCGCTTCGAGCTGCCGCTGGGTGGGTCCCATCCCCAACCCCCCCAGCACCATCCTTCCCTGCTCCTGGCCCCAGGGATGCTCATGAGGCTCAGGGGTGCTGAACCTGTGGCCCCAAAAGCTGGGGGGCTGGTTTTTGGAGGTGGTTTTGGGGGGGGAGTGTCTGTGCACAAACCGAGGTCTGTGCCCCTGCAGATATCCCCGAGGAGGAGGCCAGGTACTGGGCCAAGAAGCTGGAGCAGCTCAATGCCATGAGGGACCAGGACGATGTAAGCCAGGGCAGGGCCAGGGCTGGGGCTGGGCTGGGCAGGAACAGGCAGCCCTCACCGGTCTGTGTCTTCCCAGTTTGCCTTCCAGGAGGAGCAGGAGAAGCCTCTGCCTGTGCCCAGCTCCCAGTGCTGTAAGTGCCGCCCCGTCCCTTCCCTGCTGTGGGACCCCCGCATTGCCTCGGTCCCCCAGTTCCCCTCAGGAGCAGGGTCAGTGCCTGCCTTGGGGTGGCTGGACCCCAATCTTATCCCTCACCCTGTCCATGTTCTCATAGCTCCCCCCATGTCGAGTGGTGTTCCTGTGCCCCTGCCCCACCGTGTGGGAGCTCTCCCATGGGGCTGAGCTGTGGTGGGGATGGGAGGTGTTTAGGGGGTCATGGCAATGGAGCTGATCCCCTGGGAAGCCTGGATGAGGGGCAGTGAGGCTGGTGAGGGGGCTGCTCAGTGAGGGCTCTGGCAGAGCCTGGAGCCTGGAGGCCTTGGGGTGGCAGCTCAGTTAGTCCCAGCCTGTGTCTCAGTTTCCCCTCCTGTAATCGCTCCAGGGCCATGCACAGCCCAGCACTGTCCCAAGCAAAACTGGTGCCTCTGTGCCCAGCCCCAGGAAGTTCAGTGCCTTCCATGCCCATCCCGAGTTCCCAGCCCTGTCCTGTCTTGGTCCTGCATTGCCCAGCATGAGTGATGTCCCTGTCCTCAGCATGGCTCAGTGCCAATGTGCCCCATCCTGGGGTACTGTCCTCAGCACAGCTTGGTGCCACCCTGCCTGGGAGATGCTGGTTCCTACCAGCCAGTTCCTGCTGCTGCCCCAGAGCTGCCTCCATCCTTATTGTCTCTGCCCATTTTTTTGTAGGCAACTGGAATTATTTTGGCTGGGGAGAACAGCAGAGTAAGTATCCTGTCCTTTCCTCTCCTCCCAGCCTGGCATCCCCAGCATGTCCCCCTTTCCTGTGCCATGGCCTGGGGCTCAGGGGACCGGGAGCTCGGGTCCAGCCTGCAGCCTTGTGCTGTGGCTCTGTGCTGGGTGAGGACAGAGGCACCAAGAGTCCTGGCCTGGCCTGTCCTCACAGACTGGTGGGGACACTCTGAGGCTCTGTGCCCTCAGGGTGCTCTGGTGGCAATGAGCAGCTTGTGCTTTGCCTCTGTGAGATGACATTGGTGGGGCAGAGGGAGGTTCCCCCCATGTGTCCTCCTTTTTCCCCTTCTGAATAGCCAATTCCCCCCCGTTCTTTCCTCTTGCCCCCCCAAACCTCCTCTCTGCAGAGGGGAACATGTGCAGCTTGTCCCTCATGCCTTCCTGGGTCTGTGTCCCCACAGCCCCACAGTGGTGGGGACATGGCAGTGGCAGTAGCTGTGCTGGGCATGGGGCAGATTTGGGGCATCCCTGGTGACACTAGGGGTGGGGCCATCCCGTGTCCCACTCACTCTGACCCCTTGCAGATGATGACCCGGACAGCACAGTGGATGACAGGGACAGTGATTACCGCAGCGAGACCAGCAACAGCATCCCCCCCCCCTACTACACCACCTCCCAGCCCAACGCCTCCGTCCACCAGTACCCCATGAGACACCAGCAGCAGAGCTCCCGTGACTCCTACACTGACTCCATGCAGAGCTATGAGATGGACTACTCGGACCAGCGTCCCATCAGGTACTGCCAGACCCCCCCAGCCCCTGGGACCTTCTCTCTCCCCCGCAGGTGGCAGAGGCCAGCGGGTCCCTGGGGTGATGCCGGGGCCGGCGTTCCCAGGCGGTGGGTGAGAGAGGGAAGGATGCTGAGGCAAGGAAGCAGGGGATGGTGCCAGCTCCAACCCTTTCCTTCTCACTGGAAGGTTTTCTAGCTCCTTTGAGTCACTGCTGGGCTCTGGGAGCCCCCAGCCCCCTGGCAGTTCAGAGCCGGTGGGGCGGGATGTAGGCAGAGCTGCAGGCAGTACCCCTGCCCTGTGCTTTGTCCCCGCGGTGGCAGCACGGCCCGGTTCCTCACCAGCTGCCAGCCCGAGGTGCCCGAGCCTCCCTGCCGGCGTCCCCACAGCAGAGAGGCTGCCGGGGGGCGGCGGGGGGTGGCAGGGGA